TCCACGGGAAGCCTGCTTCTCCCTCTCCCACTCCCCCTGCTTGTGTTCCCTCTCTCGCTGTGTCTCTCTCTGTCAAATAAATAAATAAAATCTTAAAAAACAAAAACGAAAAGAAACTGATTCTACCCAGAGTATACTAGAACTAGAGTTTACCTTGGTGTACATTAGGTCTATCATTTTTCTTTAAAGATTTTAAGTAATTTCTACCCCCAAACTTACAACCCCAAGATCAAGAGTTGCATGCTCTTCCCACTGAGCCAGCCAGGTGCCCCAGGTCTATTGTTTTCTAAAAACATCAGAGTGGCCTTAAGCTGTTGGCCTTTGACAGGTGACTAACTTGACTTTTATTTTAAAAATCAGAGAAACTGTTAGACTTTTATTTCAAAACAAGGTTTTAAATCTATTTACAGCTTTTACTTAAAAAATAACATTTCCCTCAGGGAACTGCTTCCTCAGAGTAATATGTTAAAAAAAAAAAAAAAAAATCCAAAATAGAGTACTTACCACAAGTGAAATTCTGTCCATAGAACTCATTGACTATAAGAATCTCAGAACAGTATTTTTGGAATGTAAAATAACTGAAGATTTTAAAAGGAATGGACATGTCTTCTGTGTTTCTAAGAAAAAAGAGAGTGAGCTGAAATTCAGTAGGCTCTGGTAACAGATCCTACCAGATGAAAAGAAAGGCAACCCTCATTTTATGTTTCCCATTTTGAATATAGTTTTTATCTCTCATTATAAAAATTGTGCTCACTGTGGAAGACAAACAGTACTGAGAAGTACAAAGATACACCACTGCCCAGAAATAACTATGGTTAACATTTTGGTGATACGTGTAACATGTATTGTGTTTATAAAATTTTACGTAAGTGGAATCACTCTTCATGCTCTTTTCTAACCTGCTTTTTTTCAACCAAACATATGTGTCAGGCAGCCTTCCAAATCAGTAAGCATAGCACTCCATCATTTTTAATTATAGCTCGGTGGTCCATTATAGTAGAAATCGTAATTTAACAATCCCCTGATGATAGACTGGTATCTGATTTTTTTTGATAAGCACCACTGATATAAACATGAAAGAAAACACACCTAACACATCACTTTAGAGGACGATATTTGTGATTAAACAGAGATTTGAAGGAGCTAGCGTGTGAAGTGAGAATTAACTATGATACAAGGGGAGAGGACGGAGAGAGCAAGCAGGTTTTCGCTGTGAAAATGAACTCTGGGGCGCCTGGGTGGCTCAGATGGTTAAGCGTCTGCCTTCGGCTCGGGTCATGATCCCAGGTGGGATCGAGTCCCACATCGGGCTCCCTGCTCCTTGGGAGCCTGCTTCTCCCTCTGCCTCTCTCTCTCTCTGTCTCTCATGAATAAATAAATAAAA